TGCATATCTTTGTTTTTTCAAGATTTAAAAAATTCATATTGAGAAGAAATTTTAAAACTAATGTCAGGAATAATCAAAAAAGAAACAAAAAAGTGACTGCATTTTTAGAAAAGAAATTCATTTACTGCTACTTTAAGTTGAAATTTCAATGAACAAAATGTATCATTCCAAATTTATAAGATGTCAGCATCACAATGGTGCTTCAAATATTGAAAAGATGGCACCTTTTTTTCTTTTTTTATAATGATCTTCACTCTGTACAAGGCACAAGAGCTACTCAAGATAGAGGGTTACAGAGTAAGAACATATGAGGAAAATAAAGATTAACCCTAAACTTGAACAGCTTATGATTGGGAAAGTATCCTCTTGGGAGTCGATTCCACAAAGCAGCAATTTTTGAGAAGCTGCTCAAGTGGAACTTACATCTTACCAATGGAATACAAAGAGAATGAGGATGGTTTGTGTGTGGCAAGGTTAATCGTCACCATGAAAGTTACAACTGGTGAAACTAAGGAATGTAGTTTGTCTAAACACTTTCCATGGCAAATAGTCATAAAGCAGCAAGAAGCTTGTGATATTTCATCTATGGGAAAGGGATTTTAGGGTGGAAAATAATTTATCACCCACAAGGATGCAGAGATGTTTTGGACTATCAAGACTAGAAAGTGAAAACTGAAGATGAGGTATCTGTCTATATTTCTGAGATGAGGTATTATGTACACTATTTACAATATTCGGACTATTGTCCTCATCTTTGTCGCCATATTTATTACGTTTCAGCCTTTCAGTATCTGTCTATATTTCTGAGATGAGGTATTATGTACACTATTTACATTATTCGGACTATTGTCCTCATCTTTGTTGCCATATTTATTACGTTTCGGCCGTTGTACGCTCCGGCCTTCTTCTTATTCACTGTGCCATGTATCCTTGAGGACACATGGCACAGTGTATAAAAGCGTTAGTTAGATCCAGTGACAGGACCCAAAGAGTGTGAGTTCAATACCCAGTTAAGGCAGTGGAGAACTTGGAGAGGGCAATTAACAGGAGATAACTAATAACTAACATCCATTAGACATGGCACGTGGAACTAAAACAGTCTACCCCAGTGAGCAAAATAAAGGGTTCAGTTTGACATTCCAACCACCTGAAGTAGGCCAAAGCCGAAACGTTGTAATAAATATGGCAACACAATTGAGGACAATAGTCTGAATAACGTAAATACTGAAGATGAGATAGAAAAAACTTGACCAAGGTCAAGATTTCTGCTTTTAGGCTCAAACTTTAAGAAAAAAAAAAAAGAAGCTTTTTCAGGACAAATCAAATTAATTTTTCCAAGATGGATCACAGTAATCCTGGGATCCAAAAGATTTACCTTAACTCAAAAAGACTTTTAGATGCAAATTAATGTCAAGTTATTATGGCAGATTTCATATAAATGCAACCCTGATTAAAATAGGGAAAGTGTTCAAGTGTTAACAAAGACTTGCACATTTCTTGATTCAATTGACAGGTAGAGTTGATTTTCAAATAAGTGAAACCTTTTCACAATCAAGAAACATTAAGGCCTCGCCCTTTCCTTGTCTAAAACCAAAACAAACTGATTTAAGAAGCTGAGCACTGAGTATTATTTCATTTCTCTTCATAATGCTCCATACCACTTCAAGATGTAACAAAAATAATACTGATCATTCAGCCATAGAATATGAAAGGCTTCCTGAAGACCTATGTCTAAATTATTTAACTTGAGCAAAAACTAATGGAGTAAAAAAAGAAATGAAATAAAGCAATACATTTACCAGTTGAGCAATATCATCAAAGATCTCAAACATAACAGAAATTATAATTTTATATTTCTGTACAGCATCAGTATAAAAGACTTGTCCAAACCTGAAAATAGCTACTTTGGACTGTGGACAGAATTCAGCTGATGTCATTTTTACCTAATGAGACACGACACTAACAGTAACAGTACTGGTGTTAAATAATAAAAGGTTATGACAGGTCTTGGTGTGAAATTCATTCATGTCAAAAAGAGGTTTTCCAGAACTGTGGATGAAGTGATTGTGGGGAGAGGGTGGTGGGGGATCATTTCTCTTGATTTTACTTGGAAATTCAACAAAGGAATTTTGGTAAGGGATATTAGTTGAGTCATTTCATTTTTTGTTTCTTAACAAATATGAAAATGCTTCAATAATTCAGTTAGAATTTAAATTCAGATGAATCAGATATTGTTTTATTCATTTTAATGAAAACTGAATCACAGCTTTTGTTTTTTGCAAACGTGATCCTTAATAATAATAATAATAATAATAACAATATTAATAATAATAATAATAATAATAACAACAATCGTGCAGATTCTTGTTTGGAGTTTATCTTTTTGGCTGATTCCTTGGATTACATTCTTTCAATAAATTACATGTCCTCAATTATCTGACTTGTAAAAATCTTCAAACATCAACAAGAAAAAATGGCAAAAAACAGAAATCTTCAAACACTACAATCTCATTGAATTGCTGTTAAATATTTAAGTACTGATTATTTTAGAAGGAACTGAACAGAAATGATGGACTGGCATTCTTACATTAATTATCTGGACGACTATCTTCATCTTTGTTATTTTGATTATTGTCTTTTAGTTGGTATATGATTCTCTGGCTTTCTCTCAGGTGTGCAGCAGATTTTCTTGTTCCTATTTTTTTTCTGCTCTCATTTTTGCTTTAAATTTAAAATATAAACAAAATCTTCATTCATATCAGAAAATTGTTCTCATTGGAGAGATGGCAAAAATTAACAAAATGAAATTACAAATGAAAAGCAACATACACCTGAAGAGGGTGGGAGAAATGTAATGGCTGAAATTTAGTGATCAATACAACAAAAATGAAGATAGTTCTCTAAGTAATTCATGGAATAAGAACAATACTTCATCTTAGATCTTTAGAGAACATAACAGTGGCTAGAGAGACTTTGACTAAAAAAAACAAAGATAAAGATAGTCGTTAGAGTAATTTAAAGAATAGTAATAATACTTCAATTCAGTACTTTAAATAATATTAGGGAAGTTGAAGTATTGGATATAATATTGTGATCAAAACAACAAAGATAAAGAAATAATTCATTAAATGAACATGTAGATATATACTTCTTAACCCAGAATCAACCTTAATACGAAGACAAACATGATCTATGTCAAAAGTCCCGGACTGTTGTATTTTATTGCGTGATACACAATTAAAAAGTCTGCTTGTAACTAATGCTCAGTGGTGGGGACAGCGTCATGAAGGCTATTTTTTTTATGATACCAAGTTCTGTTTGAGGGCAGTTTCTTTTTAAATTTGAAGTTTATATATTTTGAATTTATTTGATGATATGAACATTATGTGAAATTAAGTATTACCATTATCATGTGAGTTATTTGGACTAATATCCTCATCCTTCTTGGTTTTATCACTGCATTTTAACCTATACATTTCCAAACATTCTCAAGTACATTGTTCACCCATAGATGGACTTTTTTTTTTAAGATGTTTTCAACTTTGAGTATCCATGTTTGTAAGTAGCAGTAATCCACAAGTCAGTTCGTAAAAAAAAAAAAAAAAAATTAAAATAATCTGTGTATGCAGGATAGAACAACACATATACAAATTTTCTCATCAAGGCCATAAAAATACTGACAATGTCATTTTTCAGTTCAAGCATGTAGCTAGGATTTTTTCCGACTGGATTTTTGTTATTTGCATCAGTTTTGATGCCCAGATAGTGAGAGAGAAACAAAAAAAAAACAATCCTTATATTATGTACCTGAGAAAGTTTGAAGAACACACTGTCTAAAAGCTAGTGATAAAATAACAAGGATGAAGATGGTATTTATTTACACCCCATAATACCAGAATATGACACACAATCATTTTTTAGTGTTGTTGGTGACTATATCAAAACAGCATATGAAATAAGACCATTTTTTGGTAGTAGGTAATTGAGAAATTACCTGTGAATCTCTCAGCCATTAACAGAGATATGAGCTTATCTCTTTTAGTGCAATGTCCAGGTGACATATTTCAGGTTGACAGGTTTCAGTTGTTGATTTCCATCTACTAATGACTAAAATTAAAAAGTTATGTTAAGAAGAATACATTTGTAAATAACATGAAATTGGTAGGGCACACTTCTGTTGGAGGGGGAATGGTTTCTTTGAATGGAACAGGGTGTACAAGTTTGATCCAGATTGAGAACATTTTTTTTTTAATAAGGACTTCTTGATCTCTAGGTTGGTTGATATTAATTTTACTATTTAAAATAACAAAGCTGCCAACTCAAACAGGTGCACCCACTAAATATAACGTTCACAGTAATAGAAAATAATTGATTATATGAAACAATTTCTGCTTCTCAGGTGAGAGGCATTAATAGAGGTGGGGGTGGGTAATTAGCAGCAGAAGTTGATTTCAGCTTATTTTTTTGTTTTTTTAATTCAGCAACCAATGAGATTTAAAAGATTTATCCAATGAATTTGAAGATAAACAGTCAACAAACTGCTGAAAATGTTTCAAACAAAACAAAAAAAATTAATCACAGAAAAAGGGTAACCAGTCCTCACAGATAAACTCCCAACAACCATAACTTTAAATGCTTAATTATGAGATAAGATAATGTGGAACGACTTTGAAAAGATATAATTTTCAGTTTTGAAGCATTTCAAGATTTTTTTTTGTTTTAGTTTTTTTTTTTTTTTTTTTTTTTTCTCAAAATACTTCTTTTGGTTGTTTTCAAAAAGTTAAAAAAAAAAAAAAAAAAAAAAACTGTCTCTTTAATTTGTTGGATTAATTTTTGTTTGTAAACATTAATTAGTAATATTTAATTAATTACTTGGGCCCAAAAACCAAAAAAAAAAAAAAAAAAAAAAGTTGGCCTACATTCAAAAATTTAAGTAGAGAATTTTAAAAAAATTGAAAAAATTCATTTTAAAAAAATATTAAAATATTAATTGAAAAATGTCATTGTCCCTTCCATGAGTCGACCTTCATTTTTGTGTACATATCAAAAAAACAGATCTGATAGTTCTTACCGGCATTGTTGTCCCAGTAGACGTTACCATTGGCTTCAAAACAAACTGCAAACTGCATTTTTGTATTGAACACTGTAGGAACATTCATTTCAAAAGTATACGTTTTATATGGACAAGAATATTCCTCATCAGAGAGGCTGGCAGGCACATCGATAAAGGTTACCCAGCAATCAAAACTACACCGAATAAAGACTTTTTTCTCTCCTTCAATGTTTTTCACTTTAATACTACCTGTTAACATAAAGTCTTTGTTGAACACATGCTCCAGGGCGACAAAGTCACGCTCCAGCCGACTTTTAAATGTAATATAATCCGCTGACGGTTTGGAAACATTTAAGCAAATAGCTGACTTACGGATATTTTTGGTCTCCTTGATAGCCGAGGCCGGATTCCACGTGGACTCGGTCACGAAGGTGCTTGAACCTTTCTTCAAAACTCCAGGGTATGGCCGTGGCACCGTCTCCTGGTTGCTTGATCGAAAACTTGAAATCATCTCCTTCTGCACACTATGGGTGGATACGATTTCATAGTTGAGGCCATCGTTATTGTCCCAGTACACAAAATCATCAGTTTTATAGCACACAGCAAAGATAACGCGCATTGTATCCTGAAAAGCGACAGGCATGGTCAGGGCAAAACTATAAGTCTCATACTGGTTTGGAAAACTGCTTGGAGTATGTGTAGCTGGAACATCAACTGATGTCTCCCAGGCATTGAACGTACATCGCAGAAAAACAGACCTTTTGCCACCAAACGATTTAACTTTAACAGTGCCTAAAATTATATTTCCACGAAGCAAGACATTTTCCAGTGAAACATATGTGTTTTCTAGTCTGTTGCGAAAACTCACATAGTCAGCAGCTGGCTGCCGGAAGCGTAGAGAGAATGTTTGCTGTGGAGGACTAGTCTCTTTACTTTCACTTTCAGAAATGTCTGATATGGAGCTCCTTGGGGATGAAGACCTGGAGGAAGACGTTGTGGAGCCATTCGGTGAGGTCATTGTAATGCGTGGAACCTCTGCCTTTTTGGAGTCAGAACTTAATGAATTCTTTAGTTCATCCATTAAACCTTCTGTGAACATTTCACTGGTCTTTAATGTTGATTGGCGCCGCAGTCCAGCATTTGGTAATAAGCTGGATTCTCCAGTTTCAAGGTCGCTCGTCACTTGGAACCTTCCTATTTTGTCAGGTTGCAAAGAAACTTCTTCAGTTTCTGGTTCTTTTTGACTAGAAGCAACAGATTCCAAATCGACAAAAGAAATTAGTTCTCCGGTTTCGTGCATTGCCGATTCCAATAGTTCAGATTTAACAACTTTTTCTGCTACCTTAGATTCAAAAGGAGGATATGAAGACAGAGGAACATCAAAGGATTCTTGATCAGAGAATTCTCCTTCACTTGTATCGTCCTTGTCTAAATCTATACACTTTTGAGTCTGTTGATGAATATCTGCATTCTTATTATTGGTCTTGAACTGAGAAGTTTCAGATTTAGTATCAGACTTCATCAGGTCAGTTGCTTTGGAATTTGGATAACCAATATATGGCTCAAGGATCACTTTGTTTTCATTTGGATCTGTTGCAGCAATGCATTCCAGTTCATGTGGTATTTTCCGGTGGGGTCGTGGTTCTGGGTGTGCAGTAGGTGAACCTAAATTTACTTGGTCACTTGTTTTGAAATTTCCATGCAGTTCATCTGAAATGGTTACGGGAGGCTCATTATGGCTCAGCGGGTCAATTATGATATCTGAATAAGAAAATAAGTTTGAAGAAACTTCAGTGTCTGAAGAAGTATCCAAAGAAAAGTCACTTTTAAAAGATGACAAGTCTTTAACAATATCCTCAAATTCAAAAGAACCGGCCCTGTTCAATCTGGGTGCCATATGTGACGCGTGAGACTCGGGTTGAGGCTCATGTGAAGATGCACTTGTGTCGATCTCGGTTTCAAAGTCAATTAATTCTTCATGGATGAGTTTTTCTTCTTCATCTAAAAAAGAGTTTTGTTTTTTCTTATCTGTAATGAATGGAAAATCTAAATGCTGAGCATATTCGAGTGAATGTTGTTCACGATCTCCTGATGAGTAGTAATCGCTTGTATTCGACTGGTCAAGAAATTCGCCATCATTCAGATTCTGGAGGTAATCGCTGGCTTCGGTTCGCTCAGTTTTGGGTAGCTGATCTTCAGTGTCAATGAGATGGACGTTCTCATTGGCAGACAAATGATCATCACAAAACGAGTGATGTGTGGATTCGTCAAGTGACTTAGATCGATAAGTACTTTCTAACAAGTGAGTGCTCTCATCAAAATCTAATGAACGAGTTTGTTTGGTGCTTTTCATCTGATGAAAATTTTGTTTTGAGGGGCCATAAGAATGATCAAGGGTTGTTTCACTGGCTCCCACGATTTCTTCCTTGCAGAATCCTTCTGTATCTAGAAGCTCCCGAAAATCAAGTAACTCATCTGGTGGAGAAGGAAACTCTGCAGGAGGGGACGGATCATCATCATCATCATCATCATCATCATCATCAACCGTATTAGGGTGGTGGTATTTTTCCAATAGAATTTCACCAGAAATCGGTTTCCTGGTGCTTTCCTCTTCACCATCCTTGTCAGGGCTTGAAGACGAGGAAAAACCAGGTGGAGAGATTGACTTGACATTATTGTCAAATGAAACTCTCTTTGTTAACATCCGTTCCCCTTCTTGAGGTAAATCGGAGGGAGGGCCAGAAATGGGGTCAGTATCAACAGAATCAAAACTTTTCGAGGGGGTATCTTCTTCCTCAAAGGACACCATTTTTGTTAAAATGTGTTTAGTGCTAAGTTCACTTGAATCTGGAGACAGAGGCCGGTCTGAAAATAGACTTCCTTCCGTAATGGAGTTCTGTACTGCATTTATACAACTGGTTATAGTCTGATCGACAAAATCCGATATTTCGAGGGGACACTCGTGCCCTGACATATTGTTCACTGGCTCGTCAAGGGAAGAGTGAGGCGTCAAAGTAGTTTCCTCATTGGTAAACCGTTGAGGCACCAATAAACTGCCATTTTCAGCTGCAGGGCATTTAGAAACTAATGTGTCAGCCTCTAGGGGAAGACTATGAGAAGTAGAAGACTCAGATGGGGAGACAACAACCAGGTGTTCACTTTCGGAATCTAAACTCCTTTTGTTATTTAGAAATATGTTACTGTCGATAGAAGGAAACAGAACATCTGGAAATGGATTTTCATCATCTGCATCATCATCTGCATCATCATTGTCGTCATCATCGTCGTCATCATCGCCGTCGTTGTCCTCCTCTTCCTCGTCATCATCCTCGTCATCATCCTCATCATCTTCATCGTCTTCATGGAGGTAGTCTTTTGGTAGAAGCGTCTCAGACTGCTCTTGAGACATCTCAGAGAAAGAATCAGAAGACTCATTGCTGTACCTTTTGTTCGCTGCATTATCGGAAATACGTACTTGTACAAGTTGGTCCTCATCTAACGTCGTGTAAGAACTGTTTGCACTGATCTGGAATTTTGGTCGTTGGGAATTAGGTGGGGACGGTAGGGGACGGTCATAATCTGGAATATCACTTTCAGAAAAATTCCAACTATCAGAGATGTTCTGCGAGCTGTCTGTGAATCCCTCATTGTCATGAACCAAAGTGGAAATGAAACACTGCTTAAAAACTTTATAGCCACCATTCGAGTCTTTTTCAACAACTGTCTTTTCTTCTTTGTGTAATGAACCTGAGCTATGATTAAAGCCCTGGTTAATGTAATCAAGTGGCACTGAGTGAACTTCCTCATTTTCTTGGAGACTTATGGCCTGGTTTCGAAGATTTTCCAAAATGGATTCCTCACGTCTATCCGATGTTGAATCCACAAGGATCGATTCGTGGACTTGTTCTGCAGGTTCAATGTTTGCTGTGATGAGATGCTTTGGTTCCGACTGTTCGATGCAGATACATTTCTGTGCCAATTCTGGTTGAGTCTCCACCAATTCTGACACGTTTGATGTGATTTCAATAACAGGTGACAGCTTCACTTCTACAATGGGGTGAGTTACTTCCCCAGCTAGAGGGGTTGACACACTCTCAACTGTTACATTTTCAGCTCGATAGCGAGATTCCAAATTTTCCAAAGGCCTCACTTCAGTCGTGTAGGAGGGAACATAAATTTTAGGGGACGGGCGACCCCCCCTCTTAAAAAGAATCGGTTGTCGATCATCATCGTCAGAGTTAGAGGCGGTATCATCAATGGATATATGTTTGGAAACAGACCGGCTTTTAAATCTTTCTTTCAGTTCCCTTATCACAGAGTCATCAGCAAATCCAGGTGGAACATGCTGAGGTTTGGGGTAAACAGTCACGACGGGTTTTGGTGGTGGTGGTGGGATATCTCTGTGAAGGTGGGCACCAATTTTGGTAGGGGAAGCAAGAAGTTGGTTGATCTGTTCAAAACTTGGCGCCCTCTCCTGGTAACCATTTTCGGGTTGTCTCTCTATGACATGCAAGTCAACAGGTTTAGAAGAAGAAGCAATTGGTGTCTCCTCTCCTTGATGTTTTGCAGAGTGGGTAAAATCCCCGTTTTCGTCGTCATCAGCACGACAACAGCCCATCCGAGAAAAGTAATTCCCCATGATATATAGATATATGTACGTGCGTGTGTGTGTGTGTGTGTGTATGTTTGGTTGTGTCTTTTTTTTTTCTTCCTCACCACGCTACTTTTTCATAGAGTTACCTGAAATTTTGAAAAAAAATGTTGCATTATATTTCTGAAAGTTTGAAATATAAAATCAGATACGTGAAAGTAAAAAAAAAAAAATTTTTAAAGAAAAAGTAAAAAGTTATATTAAGAAACGTCCTTGTGACATTGAAAAACTCTCACTGTAATAATAATGGGAAGGTCACTGTGTCGAAGTAGTAACACGAACAACAACAACAACACAGTCATGTGACTTCTTTTGCACAGTTGATGTAATACGTCGATTGCTATGCTATGTCGACTCGTTGAATGGAATTAAAAAAAAAAGAAAAAGAAACCATGTTTGTGTGTTGACAACACTGCAGATCGAAGTTACACAAATAAATTTCCATAGACAACAACAACAACAACAAACGGGCCAAGCAATTCAGTTCATTTGATTTATCTTATCTTCACTTGAACAAAAAAAAAAAAAAGAAAGAACACACACCATTCATTTTTTTTTCTGTCGCTACCAACCGACGACTTAGTGAATAATAATAATAATACGAAGAAAACAATAAAAAGGTCTATTTTGGCACGTCTTTTTGTTTCTTTCCGTGTTTGTACAATGCAACAGTGTCCCGGGGATATGTTATTACATTAAGAAATTATGTTAAGTATCTCTTGTAAAGAACTGGTGCACCTTAGTAGCGCTACTAGATCGATCTTGTCCGCAATTTAATCTTTACTTACTGGATAGACATCATATAATTAGGGGGGAAAAATAATGCCAGCTAAAAGTAAGGAATGTAAAAAATGATAACTCTTCTTCTTACTTACCTCGATTTATTTTTCGTTTGCGTAACTTCTTGGTTGCTGTTATTGTACTCATCATGTTGTTATTGTTTTCATCAAAGTCACTTCTTCCTTTTTTTTATTTTTTTTATTTCTCCTTTTCCCCGACTAAGGACCCCTAAGCATTGCGTCGTTTTTTCGCTTCACTGGTAGGCCCTTCTTCTTGTTTCCACTGTTAAATTCTTCATAACAAGTGAAAGGTTCCTCTCGTAATTTTAAGTTTTACATCCGCCGAAATGGGGAGAAAAAAAAAGAGGGAATTTTTTAAATTATTTTTTGGATATATATATATATATATATATATATCCATCCAACACTTAGTGTGAGTATCAAACACCAAGGAATAGTTCCTTTTCTGTTTTTATTTTTAAATTTTACTGTGGCTACGTGTGGGCCATACTTTTTTCCCCCCGGCAACCACTGCGGGTGTAGTTGGTTAAAGTGCCGCTGTTGTTCCCTCTTCTCTTCTCTGGTTTTTAGAGATACTTAACTCGTCCGCATGGGGAAACGTTCGTGTTTCCTAAGAGAAGCCGCAATGAAGATTCTTATCCGTTTTGGTTGTTGTTATTGATGATGATGATGATAAATGCGGGTGGTTCGTGCTGACGATATTGGCAACTGCCACTGTTGTTGCTTTCGCTTTTGTTTTCATTACGTTGGTTAAAGATGTTGAACCACCACCTCTATTATCACCCTCTAGGTCTGATAAACGATCGAGGCTACATCATGGCCTTAAATGATCGTTGTCATCATCATGGGTTTGTTTATGATGATGATGATGCGGGCATGGCGAAGAAAAGTGTATTATCAATTGGAACCAGCTTCTGCTCTTTTACAATTGACGGTGGGGTGGAGAAACAAGAGGTGTAGACAGAGGGAAAAGAAGACTGCAGACCATAGGCCACGCCCACTCCGCCTACCGATATGTCTTCTTACTGTTATTATTATTATTATTCCATTTCTTTTACTCCGGTTGAGTTTTCACTCTTCTTGTTAAGGTTCTCCTACCCACGCTCTCTTGTAAAGAAAGTAGAACATTGCGTCGTCGTACACAAAACCACTTTTACGAGGATTCATTTCGATTAAGCAATAAAAAATCCTTTTTTCTTCTGTTAAATTTCATATCAGCTGAACTGAAACTCTGGCGAATAAGGACCAATATTTCGGATTTAATTTAAATTTTGGGATATCAGGTTCTTTAAATAACCATCAACTCAACAACACTAAAAAAACATTTACTACAAAAAATTAACTGAACTTTAAGTTAACGTTTGAAAAATCTTTTTTTAACAACTGCATCTTATTATTAGACAATTTCTTTTTTATTATTTTTAAGCATTTTTTTAATTCCCGGACACAAATAACAAGGAAGGCTTAATTTAACAATTTTAATAACATGAGTTTTTAAGAGACACGTGGGAGTAAAAATTTTTTTTATACTCATAGCTATTGGTAAGTTTCAACGTTTTGGGGTTTTTTTTTTAAATATATCTTTTTTTCAACATTTCAATTTTCTAATATAGTTTCCAAGAATTAAAAAAGTGGAGCTAATAATAAACTTTTAATTGAAACTAATTAGATAAAAAAAACAAAAAAACGTTTCGCGACATCTTACCTTGTCTATTTTTTTTTTTTTTTTTTTTTTAACCATATTCTTTTTCCAGGTTAGGGACAGGTTCTTTTTCAAAACAGCGGTAAGGAAAGTTGGCGCTTAAATCACCTGGATTTTTTAAACAGTTACCCATTTATTAAACAGCTAACGACAACGTTGATTTAAAAAAAAAAAAAAAAAAAAAGGAAAAGAAGAACTGAGGTTTTCAATAATCTTTTCTAGAATCCATCAAAATTTAATTTCAAAATAGGTGTATGACACACTAAGACTTAAGAGGTTTTACTTATTTTTAACTGGAGTAGAAAAAAAGTTTATAAAAATGAATGAACGTTCAACATTGCCAAAAATACAAATCAATTTGTTCATAACATTTCTTTAGTTTAAATATTAAATTTCTAAACCAGAAAAAAGTGCAGAATTTATTGATTCTCAATAACAATTTCTGACATTTTTATGCAAAAAGTTTGGTTTTTATTATGCTTTCTTTCAGATTTTGAAGGATTTTTCTTTTAAAGACATCACAACTGAAAAGCTGATTTTGAATTTCTTTTTTTTTCTCCAATTCATTGATGATTTTTCTTTGTGAAACGAATTCGGCGACAAAAAATTCCGGTAAAAAAAAACATTTTAAATTTTAAAGTTAAACGATTTAAATTAAAAATCAGTTCATACACTTTGTTTTGTTTTTGTGACTAGATCCACTGAGCACTGGCTTTTAGATGGAATTTTGGTTTGGTCATCCACTTTCATGTTTTAACCTGGGCAGTTAGAAATAAAATAGGAAAAACGTGTCCAATAACAATTTCCAATTAAAATCAGTACAATATAAAAAATACTTTGTTGGCCTAAAAATTTAAATTATTTTTCTAAGAAAATCAATTCTTTTTTTTTTTCGCAAATTACCCTTTGCCTTTTTTAAAAAATCGACCGTGAACGGAAAATGTGAAAAAATGAATAAATAAATTCAAAAGCCAAAAACTATTTTCTTAAAGAGAAAAAGTTCATTCCTTTTTCTTTTTTTCTCTTAAAAATTTCTTTTTTTTTCTTGCATCTTTTGTTGAATGTTGCAATATTCTTGGAAACTTCCTCATTTCCTTGAGTCTGTAAATTCGACTTGAGAAATAAAAAAAAAAAGACTGGTGTTAAAACTTGTTTAAAAAAATTAAAAAATATATTATACGTATTTTGGCGTTGAGCGTAGGAATTTTTTTTTTTTTTACTCTCCGAGTTCCAAAGTGGGGAAATGTCTTCTTGTAAGTATATCACAGATTTGTTCGGTAATCACTCCAGCAAGAAGAAAACTGTTTAACTGAAAGTTAGTATCGAATTTACAAAAAAAAAAAACAGCTGTTAATGAGATGGACTCATTAACCCTGAGATTTAACAAGTGTGGCCTTCCTTTTTGTAAAAATAAATGAATAACACGACTTAAAGTTACCAAACACTCAACAACCAACAACACTTCAGAAAAGAAAGAATTGAAGGTTGTCAAGCAAGACTGAAAAAAAAAGCCTCCGTTCTAGTCATTAGCAATCAAGACTTAAAAAAAAGCTTCAAGACCTGTTGCAAAAGAAAGAAAAAAAGAGGCGCTTCTTATAAAACTAAAATGGCGTGATTTTAAAAATTTAAAATCACGCCATTTTTGTTTTATGACAACACAAAAAAACATTTTTCTTCATTTTATAAAAATTAAAATATCAAATTTTCAATAATGTATATCAGAAAGTGTCTAAAACAGGTAGAATTGGATCATCTTAATTTAAAATAGATTTTATTATATATATATATTATATTTGCTATGTGTACAAATTATGATTTTTACCAAAAAGAATAAAATAAAAAAAGACAATTATTTCTTTAAAAAAATCAATGCTTTGGAAAGTAGGCCCTCTTCTTTTAACATTTGCTTTCTTCTTTCCATCCCCATTGCTGAGGGTCAGGGGACCATAGACAATTGCACCAATGCTTTCCACTGTTTCCTGCTTCTCTTCACAGCAGTACACTCTGCCAGCATTTTCTCTGGTCAATCTTTGATGTCATCAGTCCAGCATTGGCTTGGTCTTCCTCTCAGTTTCTTGTCATTGATATGTCCCACCAAGATATGGGTGCAAAGGTTCTGAGCCCTGATGACTGGCCAAAGTAATGCAGGTTTTTTTTTAATATTCATTAATTCTTAAATCTAATAATGCCTTTTTAAATATGCTTCATGGGATGAAGCATATTTAAAAAGGTGTTCATTGAGAAAACTTGAGGAAATTTTTGAATTTTGATACCCTATTTTCTTAATTTTTTTTTTTTTTTTTTAAAAAGAAAAATCATATTGATCAGAATTAAGTCATGGGATTACCCAACTTGTCTACTAAAGAACTTCTGCTGACAACCAATAGATGGCAGTATCAAAAACATTATATAAGAAGAGACTATAAAAGTCTCTCTTGTCTTTTTTCTTTCTTAGCCACAGGATG